GCCATTTTTACGTTTTTTAGTGTTATAAGTGCACGGCAGTGATGATATGTTTGTTGCTTGAATAAACAATACTAATGTTTTGAAGGCCATTGACATCAAAATTCACATGATCTAAAAGGAAATCAATAGATTTGTTGATCAAGTTTTCTCTCCAGATAAATAATTTTCCAAAAGTGTTTCAGTATATACAGTTTTTTATAATGTTTGCTGCTTATTACTGGTGGTAGCGTAGCTTACACATTTTCTGTGAAGAACATATTTGTTACCTGATCTGTGTCATTATGTGTTTGTTGGTGGACATTTACAAATCCTAGGTGACAGATGTAATGATGACAGTTTACATTGAAGAGTAAATACTTAGTCTATCCTTGTTAGTCTTGCTGAAATCACAATATTCATGAAGGTAACGTAGATTACTATAATCATATCAGAGCAATTTCTGATGTTGTATTTAACTGTAAGCGTTAGTTTGACTATCGAGGTACAAAGTATTTCCAGAATGTATGAACAAAAATATCATCCATGTTATTTAAACACCACGATGTAGTTTAATTTATTGAATATTCTTAATTCAAATTAAAAATCAGGAAGATTTTCCTTGATATTATTAGATTTTGTTTTTTTAAAAGGTTTTCACTTTAAAACTTCTTTATGTTTCTTAAGAAGACAATAACAAGAAATGATAACATTACTGAATCATTGTTACAAGTCTGGAAGCTCCATTGTAAATTTGTTTGTTTGTTTGTATAGTATATGTAATCTACATGACTGAATAAGTATTTGTTATCTTGCAAAAATGTATTACTTTATTGTTTAGATTTTCTGACATGTTATTCTTTGTTGATGAACGTATAGATACATACGATCATAGGTTGACTTTGTTTTCTTGAATATTAAGGCATGTAGAAATCATTAACAGGTTTTGTTGAAAACAACCGTCTAAAAATCACTTTATTGTTTAAAGGTCAGCTCGATCATTGTTAAACAAGATTGGCATACCTTACTTGTGAACAATTAATAACGTGATGGTTTTCTACAAAGTCATAATGATAAACAGGAAAACAGAATTGCAATCACTTAACATTTACATTATTTTATAGACATATGGTGGTCACGTAGATTACATCCTGCTTTATGGGTTAGTGGCATAAAGAGTTAATAACTTTGTTATTGGCAAAGCTTGAGTGCCAAAATTTTATATACTTGTTTTTTAATGTTCGTTCTACGAATACAATATCATTTCATGGTGAAAGCTGAGACTTTAATTTTTCAAGTTTCGAAACTGTAATTATACATTCTTCGTGAGAATGGGTGGTAAGCTTATGGAAGACCAGTTAAGGGTATGAGTGAGACTTAAGTAATCCAGTGCATGTAGCTCAGAGACCATAGCAGCAGCCCGTCATGACATGCTGTTGATGCATCTGCCACAGAAGGTGGTCTTGGAAGGTGATTGGTAATGTCTTCAGGGTGTCTAACGATAGGTTCCGAAGACTGTTTATTCAGGCCTGTGGAGGTCATAGTTGTACCCTTCCTCTGTAGATCAGGTCCTTCAGAGATGTTAACCTTCTGAGGAGTGACATCCACCATCTGATTGTACAAGTCGGTAATGTCAGAGCATTGTCAATCTTCTAGAGGGCAGAGAAAGCAGGCCCCAAAGTAATTCAGATCCTGGACAGATAAGAGCTTCGATTTGGACGAATGAATGAGAAATCCCAGACAAGTCATAAGTTGGATCAGAAATGTCCAGTTTTGAGACTGTTGAGACTTGTCTTAATCGACCGCCAGAAAATTGTCCAGGTATCCATGTAGGATAACTCAATGGAGATGGGCATAGCCGATCACTGGTGTCATAAGCACAGCCATGGAGCAATCAAGATTCCGAAGGACGGACCTGGAACTTGTAGAGATGCCCATTCAATGCAAACCAGAGGTATTTCTGAAATAAAGGATGGATCAGCACATGAAGATGAGCATCTTGAAGATCAATGCTGAAGTCCCAATCTCCCTGATGCAGTGTAGATCTTAGGTTCCGGACAGATTCCATCTGGAATTTGGGAGGAGTATGAGAAAATCCTTGTTCAGGATCTTGAGGTCGATGATCATTCTCATTTCTGTGGTATTCTTTTTTAGTACTGGGAATACTGACATCCTTGTATGCGTTATCGCCAATTGAGTGTTGATGACAAGATAGGCTGCCCTTAATTTCTTGCTTTCCAGATGAAATCTGCGGCCTCGGGGTTGAGATGTGAGAAGAGGTAGTAGTAGAAGTGTAGTTTGTAGCCGTGAGAGACTACATCTTGGACCCAGTGATCAAAGGTGATCAATCTACAGTTGTTGGTGTAGGATGACAGACATCCACCCACTGGACCCAGAGTAGGCAAAATGTTGAAGGGGGGTCAATCATAGATTGTAATCCATAAACATAGCCAGATCCATAGGGTTTGTGACTGTGGGAAGAGTTGGAATCGAGTCATCTGCGGTCCCTGCAACATCCAGACTTTGAGCCCCTTCTGTTGGATCTCCGACATTTATCGTTTGAAAAAAGTCAGGATGATTCTGTGAACGAACTGTTCATCTAAATGTTTGAGAAGATTCTTTGCCAGGAGGAATATACTTCTGCTGTTGAGTAGCTAGTCCCATTACCGGTTGATAATCCAAGCGGTCCGTGCAGTCCATGCGGGCACCGTAAAGTGGCAGAGTTGTTTCTTTAACGGTAGTTTGGAAGTCCAGAGAGCCTGTGCGGTCCGTACGGAAGCCAGACGGTGGTAAGGCTGACTTCTTAACAATGGGTTGTACGGCTGAATAAACCGTGCGGTCTGTGAGAGAACCATTAGATGGCTTCTTTATTTGTTTATTGTTTAATGCCGCACTCAGCAATATCCTGCTATATGATGGCTGTCTGTAAATAATCGAGTCTGGACAATCCAGTGATTGATATCATGAGCATCGACCACAGCAATTGGGATCAATGACATGCATTACTTAGCGAGCCTGACCACCTGATCCCGCCTTTTACGGCAAGCATGGGTTGGTGCCGTCCAATTCTACTTCCGATCTTCAAGTGGCTTCTCTGCTGGCTTAAGTCAGATAGTTGGTAGAGCCCTGTGGGGACCTGGACGGTCTTGGCACCCGTGAGGGTAAGGCAGATGGCTGTTTGGAGATGAACAGTCGGTTCGTGGCTCTGTCCGGTGGTTGGGTGGCCATAGCGCTGGCGGTAGGCGGCTGATGTGAGTCCGTCAAGGACAGCCCCCTATATGGCCTCTGGCCAGGGGATTTTTCTGTGCCTGGGTGGAATCGAGTCTTTTCCAGCGATAGAGCCTAAAGACAGGATTCAAAAAGTGATGTCATATGGGACTTCTGCTGAGCAAATAATTGCTCCAGCAGGGTAACAGGAAACTCAGGATTTGCTGGCGGCACAGATGACTGTTGAGTGTCAGATGGTTGATCAGACTTAGGGTAGGTTGTTTATCAGTCTGGGTGGGTGATGTGAAATGGGGTTTAAAGTCGCATCCAAGATTATTGCTAATGGCGCGTCTATGATTATTGCACTTATATAGCGACGTGCATGTACGTGTATGTGTTTGTGTGGCTGCTTGTACTAGTCCGGACTGATGCCAATTTATAGTGCTAGCTCACTGAGATATCATGCGCAGTTTCAAATGAATACCCCCACTCAGACACAGTATACTGACTCCAAGCCGACCAGTCCTTGTTTTAATGCCAAGCGCCAGACAGGGTAACAACAAGTACCATCTTTGAACGTCTTTTGGTATGACGCAGCCAGGGATCGAACCCAAGACCTTCCACTCTCTGGGCAGACGCTCTACCACTGGACCACGGAGGCAGTCTTATCAGTCTGGGAGATAATATCATCAACCTTTCTCTTGGCCGCATCTTTCCTCTTAGCCTTAGTGACAGCATCTTTTACCTTGGTGAAGGCTTTCTTAGAGAGAGAGAGGGAGACAGAGGGGACAGCAATTATCCTCTGTACAGGTGGATTCTCTGCACTTCCAACACTCTACATGATGGTCACCGAAATCATAAATCGGTCACATTTGTGACAAGCTGACAGGGGAGAAGAGGACGCTATCATTTTAAGATCACAAGATAACACTTAGGACTAATATTTACGAATTCAAAGCCTATAAAATTACTAATACATTAGTATGATTAAGAAACATATACTGAAACGTATTAGAATAGAGTGACTACAGCTAAGTGCTTGAGAAATACGAAGATGTGTTGACTCTAGCATACACAGGAAAGTGAGGTTTTTCCGCCTTCACGCACAGAGGGGCTGTAGGCTGCTGAAGTGCTATAGTGGGGACAACTACTTCATATAGTTGACAGTAAAGAGGACCCCAGCTGAAAATTTGAACGTTTAGTATGGTGTGATTGCAGCCAAAATAATAGGGGTAGAGTTACAAGAATTACATTGTTTATTGTGAGCTTTGTTAAATATGTCTTTGTTTCCGCCAACGTCAATATGTTGAGAAACAAATTAATAACTTTATTCATGCACACCATTTTTCACAGTAATTTCATGCTTGCATTAATTTCATGAAGGACAGTATTTATCATTAATATCATCAAGTTTGTTGAAAGTCAAATTCATTTATGAAGCTGTTGATGGACATCAATAACTAACTACTCCGGTTAATTAAATAATGATTTACTCTGCCATTTAATGTGATGTTTCCAAATTGCAGCTGACCAAAGTAAATGTAAAATCAGTAAATAATCACAAATCATTTCCTCAAAAAGAAAAAATTTCCTAACATCTTTTTTAACCACTCATCCCAGATAAGAGAACAGTAATATCAGATTACAAATTAAAATAAGAAGATTAAGAGCTTCTATTTCAGATAGGATAGTTGAAATAGTCTTATGACCTATACTTTTAAGTCAAAACAAGGTGTATCGACCAATATACCTTTGGTTAAAACAAAAGAAATGAGACAAGAAGTGGGGCCTAATCATCTTCACATCACAGTCATTACCTGAAGTGTTTGGTAGCATGCGGATTGGAGGTCAAACAATGACAGTTTGTAGTCACTGCTGCACTGAGATTCTCGTCGGATTGTCTCAAATAAGTCAGCTGCTTTATACAGCTGGACTTGACACTCTTCCAACCGTCCATCCCCCCATAGAGACAGCCCAAGTCGGTGCCTAATTTTTGCCTCATCTTCACGCCGTCCTAACTGCTCAGCAATGTGCAGGCCTTGCTCCAGGTACTGAACAGCTTTAATATGATGCCCTAGTGCATGGTGTACTCGACCTACAGTATCAACAAAATTTAATCATATAAACAATTGAAATCTTGTCAATCTTTATGGAATCATTGTCAACGGTAATGAGTAATTCAATAGTAATCACATGCATAGAAGGAAAAATGTTTCTCAGGTCACACTGACATCAATGTTTTGGGGCTTTCATCTGTTAGCAATGAAATTTCCACTTTACCCTCCCTCCCTCCATTACTCATATCTCATATCCTGTAGCGATGTTCCAATCAAAGACATCCTGTAGTGATGTCAAGTTCCCCATCAAAGACAACCACCACCGAAAGGAGGGTGGGTACAATCTGATTGATCACACAAAGTGGCTTGAGGTAACTGTATTCTGGAGGTTGGAGGCTTCCCTCGATAAGCAGGAACCTTGTGCTGATATAAACAATGTCCTGGACTGGTTCGATCTGACTTGTCTAAGACACCCAAATGTAAATGGAATCAGAAATATTGTATTTCGCTGGAGTTGACTCCTGTCCTGATCAGCCAACAATAAACATCCAAGTAAACATGGAAGCTGATTAATTGGATGTATGTAAACTTCATGATGGGAGCTGTGATCTGGGTGAACAGCCTAGGAACCACTCATAATTCAAATTGTAGAATGAGGAATTTGAAGCGGTATCCATTGACTGCAAAAGAGAGAAATTTCCAAGATCCAAGATGAATCAGCACATGAACATAAGCATCTTGAAGATTTAGATTTATCAACCAATCTCCCATCCTGTGGGCACTGCACTGGAATGCATCTGGAACTGTGGAGGATGAACGAAAAAAACTTTGTTGAGAACCTCGAGATCTTTATTCACACACTTGTAGATATTTTCTTTGGGACCAGGAACACTGGAGAGTAAAATCCCCTGGGCCATAAGTCAGCTTTAGGTTATAGTCTGGTAGTTGAGAATCTAAAGCCATAGACAAAACTGCATAAATAGGATTTGATGCATGTTAATAGATTTTGATTTTGATCCCCTGTTCCGCAGAACTTGCCTGCTTTGTATTTTTCACAACCTCTTGAAAAGGATGGTCTTCGGTAGATTCTTTTAGCCCATTGGCCTTATAGGCAGAGATGTGTGCCTTGACCACCAAGTTGATGGTAGAGTGCAGGAATCTCTTCATAGTGTGATGGCAGACCTCCTACTCCCCCCCCCCGCACAAGTCCACTTGTCAAGCTTGTCGTTAAAAACCTGTGGCGCCAAGACAGATTCAGTCACAACTTATTCCTCCGATTGTTCTTTGACAGCTCTAGACAAAACCTGAGCGAGGACATGTTGGCAACGTGTCCATATGTACTGAGAAAACATCCAAATCTGTGGAAAGTAGGTTCTCCTGCATTTTAACAATAGTTTCAAGCAGATTATGGATGATGATCCCCATTGATAGATCCTGATAGACATCTCCAAATCTCCTGAAATCCAATCGTACAAGTCCTGCAAAGGAGGTATAATGTGATGTATTCCAGCAACGAATCAGTGTATGTATGTATCCACTAACTTGACGTAAATAAATCAGTCCCTTCTGTGATCGATCTTTGTAAATTCTGCAATCAAATGTTTAGAATTCTGCACACAATCCTGCAAACCTTTAAGTTTGGTTTTCACGAATTTTATAGTTCTGTACCTGTTTGACTTGTGACAGACTTTTTGTCTGATGAACTGCTAGAATAGCTTATTGAAGTGATTGTGGCAATCACTTGTGTAAACATGCAGACATGAACTTTGATAATACAAATGTCAAAATTAAATTTATTCATTCAACCATTTCTGAAAACGTAAAATGTTTAAAATATAGTTTGAAAATCGTTTATCTTCTTTTTTTCCATGCAACACAAACACCTCAATAATTATTTGGAATGCTTTAATTAATACATTGCACAATTAAAAAAATGACTATTTGTTTCAGTAAACATATACTGAACCATGTGAACTGCAAAAGAAATGTCACCCCAAGTTACATTGCATGATAAGTTGTCATTTAAATATCTGGGATATTTTTGTCAAAGTTTCTAAAATTTAACATTACCTTGTCTGGAAAAATGAAATTTGATGATAAAAAACAAAGCAGATGACAATAAAACCGATCGTTCAAACACATCAAGGCAACGGCCATGGTAGCCCTATGCATGTGAGTTCCGTGCAAATTTTGAAATGCACATATGTTCCCCCATTTCTTGCCCAATAAAAATCCACCCAGATCAAATAACATTCATTCGTTATTGAATTGCTACCACATGCCAAGATTGACAAGAAATCAGCAACACCAAGCCCTTGGACGATTGCAAGCTGGACAAAGAAGCCAATGCATTTCAAGTCCACGTAAGGACCATAGACAGGCTCCAGCAATGGTACCAGACCACCAACACTACAGATGGCCGACCATGTAGTGGAAGACCAAGGGTCACCACCCGATGTCAGGATCGTCACACTGTGCGACAGCATCTCCAAGATCTCTTTGTTACTGCTGCGGAAACTGCTCGACAGACCATGGGGACACACCAGCGACACATTAGTGTGGACACCGTGCGTCGACGATTGATGAGCAGACACCTCCACTGTCACAGGCCACACCGAGGACCCATTCTCAAGCCACGTCATCACCCGGACCGTCACAGCTATAGCATTGGTGCCACCAGCAGTGGAGAAGAGTCCTCTTTTCAGACGAGAGCTTATTACTGTATCTCAACAGCAGAGAGAGTCTGGCGACGCCATGTGGAACGTTGTTCGGATACTTATGTTGTTGAGCGAGACTCGTGGGGTGGTCCGAGCATCATGGTGTGGGGCGGAATTGGTCTTGCACAGAGGGTCAGCCCAGGGAGAGGCAATGGTGTCACAGCAGCTCGGTACCACACGCCATACCTCATTTGGCATGTTGCCGCAACCACGAGTTTCAGCATGATAGCACCCGTGCCCACGTCCTCCAGCAGAATGGCATCAGAACCATGCAGTGTCTTGCCCTCAGTCCTGACTTAAATCCCATTGAGCACCTGTGGGACAAGTTTCAAAGACGGCTGACAACTACAGCTGAACTGCATCAGGCATTCCTCAGAGAGTGGGCTCAAGCGCCTATGGCCTTCATCAACCGCCTCATCCATTCCATGTATCGGCGTTGCATGGCAATCATTAATGTGCATGGCGGATACATTAGATACTGACTTGGGATACCATTTTCTCAGAGACTAGTGTTGTGTTTCACTTTAAGAACATTTGACACTTTAATTTCAACCTTGATAAACAGTTTTGCCAAGTTTCATCTTTTTAATATGTCTCAAAGTATGTTTACAGTGTTGGGACAAATAAGGTTTCTCATATATCTATCCATGGTGATGTTTCCTTTGCGGTTCAGTATATTACACATGCAATATTTTACATATTTAAAACCAGCTTTAAACTCACAAGTTAAAATTACTAATTCTGAGGCAGACAAATGCAAAAGTTCTGCACAGAATGAGATATTCTGCATCAAGTGGTCATTTCTGCAAAATATTCCACGACCGTGGAATACAGCAAGGACTGATATATCCTAGACCCGGGCCAGAGAGAAGGAGAGCTTTGTGTTTCATAATCATCGGAGAATCCGGCAAAGGTGCATCAATGGAGGGAAGAGGTAATTTCTCTTCACATTTGAGCTTATTCAAATTCTCATTGGCCTGAGCCAAGGAAGGGAAGGATACCACACCCCTGCCATAATACCACAGAAGCATGGCATCCACTGTTTTCCAACATTTGGGGTAAAGTTTCTTCCTTGACGTCAGATCACAAGACGGCATGAGATGGAATATCTCCCCAAAAGTTTGGCAGACGAATGATCCAGCTCATAGCTAAGTCCATATTATCTACCTTACGTTCAGAACCTGTATCTGTCAGATCAGTCCACACATTTTACCATGGTGGTGACCGTCATCCAAAATATCCATGCAGCTCCAGATCTAATGGGGACCAACTCTTTGGAAAAATGTTCTCTGTGAAGAAAAGCACTGGCTTGTCTTCACACATACTGCAGCAACTACCGGTTCCCGATCATATTGGCTGGCTGGCTGGCTGAAATCCTGCTATAGATATCATGGCAGGTATCCAATGCTTCTTCGTAGCACCTGCAGCTCCAGTGTCATTACAGTAAGGGATTCCCAATAATGTCTCTTCAAAATCATGGCATGCATGCGGTGACCATACAGTGACAGAGGAGATCCTGTATAGTCTTTTGCAGACATCTTAAGAGCCAAGGTAAAAAACAGATCCTGAAGTCTCCTGTCCTGGCTACCGCATGGTGTCTGTGCAGTTAGAGCAGACTGGTGAAGTTTGAGAACACTCAAACCATTCTGTGGGTACCAATTTGGTCAAGATGAGATGCTAGCAGATGTGTCCTTGCAGCATGACCTTACTTATGTCTGTCCCCCCCTCTGGCCTCTTGGCTGGAGAATGCTTCTGGGTCTGCTGTGCTTTCCTCAGTGATTCTACTTCAGGTGACATGGCTTTAAGCCTGCTGTCAAACATTGTCTCCATGTCAGTCTTCTGTTTCATAAACAATTGTTCAAAAATGGAGATTGCTGGGCGAGCATCTGGCGACCCTGTGGCAGAGGGTGTGGTAGGTGATGATGGCTAGTTAAGATAATGTGTCAACTGTTTTCTCCATCACTTACATATGTTTTGCTTTCTTCCAGACCTTGGTCTTCTTGAAAAAGGTTGGCTGTGACAAAGCGAAGCACCAGCCGCACCTATTTGGCTCCATCCCTGCACTCCTTGATTGAGGATCCTCCAATGACATTAACTGGCCACACTTATACTTTCTAACTACTTACCGGTACGCGAATAATATAAACTTTAAATAGCTTCTCTAAACAGAGAATGCCTTGACAATAATGATAATAAGATAATAAGGAGAAGAAGTCTGAGACATAAATTAATTTTTTTCGATATATATAAACTTAACAACCATTATCATAGCATAACATATTTCCCACGTATTCTTTGCATTTTTTACCCCCTGAAAATTAGTGCACATCCTTGTAACTTTGAGCCTATGTTTGGAACACATTTTAACATACCTAAACTGCTGTATGCTAGAGTTTTTGCAACTCGGTCATTCATTTGTGCTGCAATACTAAGATGCTGTTCTTGGTGCTTAACTGCCTCTTCGTACCTTCCAAGGGACTCATAGGACAATCCCAGATTCCCATAGGCCCGACCTGCAGAAAAATATAGAGGTATTAATGATCAGAAAAATTTGGTAAAAAATGATAATTAAAGCTTCTTCATCAGGATCTGAGATCTGATGAGATTCTTGAAAGTGGTCAGCATCCACATTTCAATTTGAATCAACTTAAGTCCATATCATCATAAATCGTTATGTCATGTCAGCGAGAGGTCACCTGGCTTTAACAGGAAGGAATAATTATTTATGTTATGTATTTATGTTATGTATTTGTGTTATTAACGTTCTACATCAACAACAGTGGTTTACAGAAACAAGTCAAAGTTATTCATAGCCTGTGTGATAAAAATGAAAACAATAATATTTGTGGACAGTTTTCAGTGACATATATATATCTAGTGTTTAATAATACTGTGGAGAAGTCTCAAACACTGACTTGTCCAAACTGTTCCATAAGTATATTATGGCCAGCATCTTTCCCCTATTAGCTCTTAATATGTCTTAAATATACAAAGTAAAAATAGCAATAAAAATAACAACCTGTTAGAATATATACATGATATAGCTGGTACCATAATATTTTCAGATACAATTTCATCTGATCAATGCATAAACATTCTTCTCTGTTCAGACCGTGTCCCTGGTCTAGTGGTAGAGCGTCTGTACTGAGAGAGGAAGGTCCGGGGTTTGATCCCTGGCCATGTCTTATCAAAAGAGGTTAAAATATGGTACTTGTTGTTACCCTGTCTGGCACTTGGCATTAAAACAAGCACTGGTCAGCTTGGAGTCAGTATACTATGTCTGAGTAGGGGTATTCATGTTAAAATGCGGCATAGTTTCTCAGTGGGCTAGCACTATAAATTGGCAACATGTGCATGCACGTTGCTGTATAAGTGCAATAATCTTGAATGCAATGTTAAACCCCATTTCACCTCACCTATCTTCTTTTCTGTTACATAATATTGGGCATACCTTAACTTAATCAACGGTAGAAGGGAGAAAATGAGTGTACAGCTGATTGCTATTTCTGTCTTAATTTACTCTACAATTGCATACAATAATCTCTGCATTATGCCTTGAGATTTTCTATCGCAAACATTGACATTTTCATTGATCAAGTTTGTCCAACTGAGGTGATGTTTTTGAATGCACACAATATACAAAAAAGCATTTTTTCCTGAAAGTTTTACCCAAGAATTGGGACAACATATTATTTATCACAAACATACAGTAAATAGATCCTTGGACTGCACATAATATGCATGTATTTATGCCTCAGTCATATTTGCCACGGCGGGTCTAAAATATCTACGGCCAATAGCAATTATAGGGCCGCCGCAGCATTCCCACGGTCATATACTGTAGCAGTCACATAAGTTAGAGTAGCTGCGCAGTGTATTTTGAATTTGTGATGAAAGAAAGTGATGATGCATGGTCGCCCTAGGGCGTCCCTGCGGCGACTGTAGGTTTTTGACAAATACCAAGTCATACTCAAGGTAGCCGCAAGGGGGCCACAAGGGGACCATACGGCGACTGTGCGGCCAGACTGATGCTACCACTACACAGGGCAGCCATACTGCAAACACAAGGCCACCGTACGCCCAATGTATGGTCGCCATGGAGCTGCTCTACGGCATGGCTATAGTGTGTCTAATTGTCTCATTGCTACGGCAAACCTAGAAACTAAAAAAGTTATAACTCTGCGCTATAATCCAACAGTGACCCATACTGCCTCAAAAAGATAGGGATACGCCCTAGGGCGACCGTAAGGCCACCGCAGATCCTCTGCGGCTGTCGCAGTTATCTCTCAATTTCGGGGGTCTATTTGATCCTCGCCGCAGAGCAAATGTGACGGATCGAGGCATTACCAGCCAAGAGAGAGTAGCATCTCACATTAAGAAGTGAAGATTACTGAGATATGTACAAAGGTTTATCAAACACATTCGAGTGCATGAACCAAACCAGGACATGAAGGAAAACGATCGACAACATTTGTAGAGAGGATCTTCAAACAAAAACCCTACATCAAAAATACTCAAGACAGGTGAGTGGAATAAAGGTTTGGGGCACCGTTCTATTTTTAGCAAATGCCACGCCTTATGGCGACTTCGAAGTTGAAGACGAAAAAGTCTCTACAGAAGTGTTAATCCACCTCCGAAAAGGGACTCTGTCTAGGAAACCTGACCAATAAAAAATCAGTCAACACCAAAGGTAACGTTTAAAGATTTATTACATAGATAAATTCATAAAACAAAGCAAGGAGCACAAGTATATGACATCTCTATCTGTGTTCACTGGGATGTGACAGTTGTTACAAAATTGATGTAGGCAGGGGAATAGTAAATAGACAATCAAGTTGGCCGGAATCTGATTTTTGCCAGAAAATCCCAACTCAGGCCTAGGTTCGTCCTTTCACCTCTAGATAACTTAAACTGGACACTGGTGACATCAAAAGTATGTATCTCACTAACGCGAGCTGCAATAGAAACACGGTTTTCATTATCATTGGAAATTAAATGTTGCAGGGTAACGTTGAGGTCCCACGAAGGGGGCTCGAAATATGAGGATTGGTCCGCCAATTTGTGAGAGCGGAAGAGTGATTACAGCTCAACAGTGGAGCCCTTTGTACCTGAGGTAGTGGCAATGACTGAGTATATTGCACTTGGTAGGTGGCCAAAGTGGAGCCTTCAAGCTTACGTGTAGATCACAGGTAATGTAAATAGTCCCTGATCTGGAGAGGTGAAGCCCAGGTAGGAGTGATAATGTTGTGAGTGCGACCAAAATTCTCGAAGGCTGTCCACTTGTGATCATAAAGGTGCGTGGTAGACAAATGGTGTGCTGCAGTGATAGTCTTTGCTCCTGGCTAGTTATAGTCTTTAGCGAGGGAGATGCACCAGACACATAAATGGAGCATGAAAGGGACGGATGGAGCCACTGAGAGCCTGGCTAAAGTGGAAAGCCATCGCAGAGCGGGAGACGTAAGCATCTGTCGGCAAGCCTTAGCAAGGTGGGCAACCAGTTGCGTGTTTGGCGAATAGGGCACGATCACAATCAGAGACAGGTGACTGGTGGCTTCTACCTTCTGCAGGACGCAGTTGGAGGAAAGCATAGACATTGAGGCCCTCCCACAGGATCAACAACTTATCAAGATGCCAAGCCTGAGGATCGAGGATGACACGAGAACTTAGTGTTGAAGTGGATGGCATAGAGATCTACCTGCATTCACTGGAACAGCGCTGGGTTCAGGAACCGCTCTGTTGTTGATGGTCTGTCAGGTCGGGACAGGAAAAGTCGAGAGTGAGTGACACCGTGGACCCCATTCTGTTTATGAACCATACTACCAGCTAGTTGTCAGACTGTACCATGAGGTGAGATGAACGTATGTGTTGGCAACGATTCCCGTCATCTTGCCACTTTGTGATTGCGAAAGTGCAATGAACAGATGAAGGGACGGGATGAACGGCCCCAAAAAGACTCCTACACAAACATTTGGCTTGACTAACCACCACTGTAGATTTGAGTGGAGATGGATAGGTAGGGAAATCCACATCTGACAATTGTCGATCCTGATAAAGGACACAAGGAAGTATTGAAGCAGTCGCAGATGCAGTTGACCTCACACAGCGAGGGCTTACGCTAATGCCAGGAGACCCAGGAGCTGTTGCCTTTGTCAGAGCTGAGGCATGCAAAGATGTATGAATTATGTGACAGGCCACGGTGCCAAAGGAATTCCAATCGGGAGCACTTTCCATTGGTAGTGTTTGCCATGGAAAATGAACTGAAGGAAATGGCAGTGTTCCCGATGCATGGGATGGTGAAGATAGGCATCCTGTAGATAAAAACACAGGGATGGATGAGCGTGCAAAGGAGGGTGATCAATGTCATGCAAAAATTAGGGGGAACTTCCAAAGAATTGAAAACCTTTATGTTGAAGATTAGCTGGAGCTTCAGACTGTCCCTTTATGGTACAAGAAAGAATGGTGAATAAACCCCAGGGTCGCTGGAAGGGGGCCGAGGTATTCTATCGCATTCTTTGTAAACAAAGTGCCTATAGTGTCGATCATGGTTGGTTGTTGAGTGGCCTGATACTCTCTGTATGGGGGACAGCTCGAGGCGAATGTACTTGTCATGCCGTAGAGGAAGGGAGTCATAGATGCCTTGGATCCCCGCTGTCCCCTACGTCCTCTTCCACGACTGCAAAAGGGAGTAGAAAGGAGGGAGACAAGATCCTTAGATCTCGTTGAACGGGTATGAACTGTGGAAAGTTACAATCCTTCTCATGATCCTCCAATTGATATTTCTGCAGGTGAAGGCGATCAACAGCTAATTGGTGTCCTTCTTGACCTCAAAGAACTGCTGGATCCCCTCCGCGAACAGGGTATGTGATGACCACAGGAGTTGATACAATTTGACTATGACAGTCCTGTTGGACACCACGGCAACGAAGGGCTGTCACTGAACCAGCGTGATGCGATAGAAGATCCAGAATGTTTGCAATATTATCATGTATAAGGAGTAGCGTGCCTCTAAAGAAGGTATCATCTTGTGATTGATGGGATTTGGAGGTGGAGAGCACTTCTGTAGCCGACAGGATCGTATAAACGACCGGTAGCATACAATGCACTGTGGTGTCAAAATGTGTGAGGTCTCGACTTCTATGATGAATGACGAACACGATTGTTTCTGGGAAAGTGTCGATAAATCACTGTCAAACCCTGGGGAGGTTTACCATCGCCGACATCCCATGCATAGGGTGAAGCGAGGAACTTGAATTCGGTCACGTAATCTGATGAACGAGGCGAAAGTCTTATCTAGATTAGATGAGATGTCCTATAATACCGGTTATTGAGGGAGCCTAATATTGGAAGCGCTGTCCGATGGTACCACCAAACCAAGTAAACCAATCCACAGCCAAAGCCATTTTGATGTAGCTGCAACTTTTCAGAAATCCATTGGAGGAGCACGATCCTGAGACTTCTGTACCAATCAAGAATGGCTGCGTGAATGGTGACTACCAAGACCCAAGGGAGTGCCGAAAGTAAGAGCAGTGCATATGATCACTGTCTGAACATCGTCTAATTGGAGAGCAAGAGCATTTACCAGATCCCGAACACCGATCCTGAGAGTGGGAGCACCTATCCTTATCCTTTGAAGACGATCGTCAATGCTGAATGTCTTTTTTTCTGCGATCCTGAGAAGGACAATCAAGAGCATCCCGATGGGTAGTCTTATACTCCTGCGACACCTCTCAGCGTAGATAAGGCACATGTAGTCTTCAAGTGAATGGCATTCAGCACACATGGAGTCAAAGGAGTACTGACCGTGATAATCACAACAAAGAGTGTGAGGATCAGACGTGAAATACATGTGTCTACAGTTGGAGTGAGTGAGTGAGTGAATATGGTTTTACGCCGCTTTTAGCAATATTCCAGCAATATCACGGCGGGGGACACCAGAAATGGGTTTCACACATTGTACCCATGTCGGGAATCGAACCCGGGTCTTCGGCTACCCGACCGCCCCTCTATAGTTGGAACATGCCGGACGTAGCATGTCCTTTTTCGCCCATATTGCAAAATGTCTCAGTCCACAAATCAAGAATAAAAAATACAACAAATATATTCTCTAGGTCCAAGAAACACTTCCACACACTGTGGCGATTAGAAAGGGAATGAGTTTGTTGAGAGACACACATATTAAGATCGTAGAAGGTTACCGTGCACAGAAGCATGTTATTGACCCAATTAGAGATGCTGAACTATAGAGATGCTTGGGTGTGTTCAGTTGAATGAATTTGTTTCAGAAGCTGGAAGCTGTTTCTAAGAAAATGCTATCTCAGTCTTCTGGTTGGAATGAAAAGAAACATGCCTGTGTACATGTTTACCCTTGCCAGATGTATTTTTTCCTGTCAGCCAATCCATTACTTTTGTTCACCTTATGTGGTCTATTTTATACTGCTTCCAACCTGTTTTTCCTTTGTATGCAATCACAGTATCACAACTTCCTCAGCAGATGTGTATAAAAGTTCCCCTGTCATCATGAAAAAAGAATTATAAAGGAAAGTCATATTTTCATTCAGTCATCTTTCCTTGAATATTCTTTGTTTAAGTGCCAGTGTCATAAAAAATTAAAAAAAGATTTATACATGTGTGTCAATAATTCTAGAAAATTAAGTTAGATGTAACAAAATGATTGTAATAGTCTAACGGGATAACTATGCATGTGGAGATGTTTGTTTACCGCCGTTGCCATGATGATGTTACGATTCAGATTGTTTTTGTTTACAATTAGTTACACCGAAAGTTGATAATTTTTAGAAATTAAGGAACATGAGTGTTTTCCTTTCGTCAGCAAACAAACAATTATGATCGAATAGGAAAAATGATGAAATCATAAAGAAAATATCGGAGTGCATGCCGCTCAACGTGAAGTGCCAAAAGTCAACAATGGCTGTTTCTGGTAGTTGTGTGCTGAGAAGTTTGGCCGAAACTTTTTTAACTCGCGATATTTTCTTTTTGAGGTAAATAAATTACAGAAAGTTTTGATATTGAGCAAGCTGAGCATTTATGCATGTCATACGAAATTTAAATGTCATGCAAAGCCTTCTTTGTAAATAGATATGGCAAGTTTTATTTTGGGGTGTCGTTATGCTATCTGCCTGTCGAATGGGTTCGACATCAGATGCACGGGAAGTGACTCCTCTGTCGAATAGCATGCAGAGCTTTAAAAATCAACCATTTTTCAAAATCCTAAATCATCAAAAGGTACCAGTTCACCACAAGATAGATCTGTTTAGCAAGTATAATCCAGAAATATTCAACAGTTTTGAATTTTCCCTCGGAAACGAGCACTGCCCTCATTTTCAGTATAAGTCCACCTTGTCTTCATAAAATGTTTTTTTAAAAACAACAAAAATCTCAAATCATAAAAAAGCACAAGTTCACTACAAGACTGATCTGAAAAGCAAGTTTCAGCAAGAAATATTCAACAGTTGAGGAGAAAAACAGAAAACGGGTGGATGGATGGACAGACATGCTGATTGCAATGTATGGTTCCTTCTCTTACAAACATCTGATACAAGCAGAAGATTGATTGTGTACACAAAGAAGCAGAACTAGCTTTTGAATTCACAAACCAATTCAATGCCTTGCCTGAATGAAAATATGTACCAAAAAAATCCTTTTTTCAGTGACCAATGCTTGAGTAATCACAGGATTAAACATTTTTCAGTTTATAACCTTACGCGGATTGAAACAGTTTGCACATCGGTTTCATACCTCAATGAACCGAAAAAAATACACATTTAACCCTTAAATAAAAATTTGAAACACTTGAAAATCAACAATGAAGAAGTTGAAAGTTAACAGACTGTAGATAACATACAATTCCCTGAGATAACAAATTGAGCCATGGCATTGAAGCTACTTGGATATGTAGTCAACAGACTAAAACAGAGGGAAAACTGGCACTAATATATCATGATATTTTAGCAAAACATGGTTACCATAAGTTGAAACATACAGGCTAAAATAAAGTGCAGCTCCCTCAATCTGGGAATTTCATAGATGAATGCAGTTTTTAGAATCTTTAGAGTATGGTCAAAATAAGTCAAAATATAAAATTTCGCTAAGTTTAATCTTACTACTGTCTATAAATGTACCAAATTTCATGACAGTTTAGAAAAAAACATGACTGATTAATGGCCAGCTTTTTCAATATTTCTGCCATGACAACCAAATTGAAAATCAGATTCAAACCTCTTGACCAAATTCATTATTAGGGGAAAAAGCATGTGAAGCTTCATCGGTCCAATGGTTTCTGAAAAGATGTTTACAGACGACAATGGATGCCACACAGGCAAGCTATGACATAACTGTTACATGGTATGCAGTCTTGTTATAAGAGTTGCTTCCCTTGGCATTTGTCTGCCATGCACGTTGTAATAAACGCTGAAGTTTTAATCTGAGTTGTCTATGACTATCTAGACGTGTACAACACACACAGCACATAACATAAACTAGCTTCGCTTTCCATCAGGTGATGTAAAAACAGCTGAATTCAGTAAAGACAAAGTCACTAGAACAGTCCAAGCAAAGTTTCATCCTTGTGGATTCAGAGCAGCTAATGCAAAGTTTATGGCAGGCATTTACAAGACAACAGACAGTAACATAACTTTGGAATCATGGGAAATAAAACAAACATTAGTGTGCTGGGTCCATGAAGAAATAATCAATCAGTTATGCATTACTTATTTATTTTCTACTCACATTGACAGGCTGTCTTGTTGCCAGCCTCTGCAATTTGCAAGTCCATCTGGTGGTATTTGAGAGCTGCTTCATACTCCCCCATTTGCTGGTACACTCCACCTAGCCCACATGCAGCATCTCCCTCACACTGTTCATCTCCCATGTCTCTGGATATACTTAGTTGATGTTCTAAACATGAGATTGCCTGTTCAAAATTCCCAAGTAGACTGTGCAGACAACCAAGTTCACCATATGCTGAGGCCTTAGCAACAAGGCTGTTAAGTTCATGTGAAACAACAAGTCTCTTTTCAAAACAAACCAAAGCTTGCTGTAAATTGCCAATAGCTCTGTGTGCATTTCCAAGACCACGATAAGCTCTGTCCTGTTCATGAAGGTTACATGACTGTTGAGCTAGAGCCAGAAACTGCTCATGACATTTGATGGCCTCTTCATAGTCTCCAAGTGCCTCATAACAATCACCAAGGTTTCCAAAGGCTTTCCCTTTGTCCCTCATTGGTATTTCTCCATATAATTGTTCCAACATTGCCAACTGCTGTTCAAACAAACCAATAGATTCCTCGAAATGTCCCATATTCATTTTTGTGATGCCAAGGTTGCCACAGGCTTGTCCTTCTAATTCACTGTCATGGAGATCACGACTTCGCTCCAGTTGTTCCTCATAGCATTTGAAAGCACTCAAGTAATTTCCTAGGGACATATGCACATTGCCCATATTACCATGAGCTCGACACTCTCCTTTCATGTTATTGTTCTCTTGTCTGATGTTGAGTTCTTGTGTGTGGAAGGCAAGAGCCTTGTCATACTGTCCCAACATACGATGAGCAACACCTAACGAGCCATAAGCAGTAGCAAGTAGATCTTGGTCTTGGCAGTGTTTGGCAAGTTGCAACTGTTGTTGATAGATCTTTATGGCCTCTTCAGTATCTCCAGTCTTTAGCAGGAGATCACCAATATTCCCCAATGCACGGAATTTGCCAGGACTGTTTCTTAAAGCATCCATCAAACCTAAACATTTCTTTTGACATTCTAAGGAGTCATCAAAATGTTTAAGAGACTTATGAGCAAGACCTAAATTGCAATAAGCCCTTGCTAATGACAATCTGTTTCTCATCTCTCTAGCAAGTGACAAATCTTGTTCATAGTAACGAACAGCTTCCTCATAATTACACAATGAATAATGAGCATACCCAAGACTAAAACAAGCTTTGCTCTCACCTTCCATATCATGGAGCTCCTGTGAAAGGCTCAAGTTTTGCTCATAAAAAGATACTGCACTTCTGAAATCACCTCGTGCACAATGAAAGTTACCAAGATTACTGAGTGCCCTGGCTTCACTTGATGAATCTTTAAGTTCTCTGGCGATATTCAGGTGAGAGAGGTAATGCTGTAATGCATTTTCATACAAACCAAGAGCTTGGTAGGCAACTGCAAGATTGCCATTTGTAGATCCTTCTGAGTGGCGATCATTTACTTCTGATGCGATTGTAAGTTCCAGTTTGTGGTACTTAACTGCTAATTCATGCTGACATAGAGCACTATATGCATTACCAATATTACCATAAGCTCTGCCCTGTCCAGCTTTGTCACCCAGAGCTTTGGCAATGCGCAAATTGTTATTATGAAGCTTTAGTGATGCCTCATATTCACCCAACTGATGATAGATGATACCTAAATTAGAACAAGCTCTGCTCTCTGCAACTCTGTCTCTGGTCTGCAAGGCATTATCAAGTTGCTGCTCATGGAAGCTTTTGGCTTGTATGGTATTACCTAAACACCGTGCTGCGTGACCCAAACCAGCAAAAGCACGAGCCTCTAGTGCCTTATCAGAATGCTCTTCAGCAATGTTTAAAACACTGTTATGATACAATATTGCTTTTTGGAAGTCTCTGTTGTAATGATAAGCACTTCCAAGGTTGCTGTATGCACGTGCCTCCTCCACATGACTGTTCAAATCCTTGGCCATTTTCAAGTGTTCCTGATGGCACTCTACTGCACTGTCAAAGTTGCTCATAGCTAAATAAACTGCACCAACATTACCAATTTCCCTTGCTTCTGCTAGCTTGTCACCACTCTGTTTCAGTAGAAGAACACACTGTTTATGACTGTTAAGTGCATTTGGGTAGTCCCCTATTGCTGTGTACACATGACCAAGGCTACTGAGAGAGGTGGCTGCAGTATCCCTGTCCTTGAGCTTCATGGCTATGACAAGCTGGTACCTATGGTTTGATAATGCTTCTTTGTAATGACCTTTGGAGAAATATGCAGACCCAAGGTTGCCATATGCACGGCACTCACCATCTTGGTCACCTGAAAACATAAAATTCAAAATGAAAATAACTTGAATCTGAACCAGAGAAACTCCCCGTAATTCAGTGATGTCAATTTCAGGTCAGGAAGGTTGCTTAAAAAACATACTACCCAACACTTGCATACAAGTTTTCATTGTCTATGTTTAAATACCATTGTGTCAATGGTTTAGGAATATCTGATTCATTTGTCAAAAGTTTGGGGGTGGACAGTTACCAATGAGTGACTCTACTTCAGTTGTCCAAAGATTTCAGAGCCATAAAAACCAATAAGTAACGGTAACAATTAATACACACATACTTTCTTTAACCATTAACAAACAGTTATTGTGTAATGATATTATGTTGTTTGTTATTTTAACTAAACTAAATTTAGTACTTATCTGTTGATTACTATCTCAAAAAGTAATGATAAAACAAAAATGCATAAATGCTTTGCTTGGATAATCAATAAAATAACACAATATATATGACAAATGTTATATTTGGGATAACCCTTTCTTCGTAAAGTACAGATTCTCGTACTTTTCGGGTTGAGTCCCATCCAGGTTTCGAACCCACACTGCCAGATTGAGGCACCTAATGGCCAGCACACAAAAGTCAGCAATCTAACCTACTCAGCCACCAAGGTTCCATATAAGTGAAAGTCCGTAAACTGGTAGTCTAGATCACATACATTGTGTACCCCTCTGACAAGTGTAATTATCATCTAAGATTTGTAGCAACAGCCTTATCTTGCACAAGTGACATTGAGGGAAGTCATGTAGCAATAAAGATCATGACAACGTTGGCAGATGATCAGTTGAAGGTCAGACAATGACAAGACAACAATGCAAATATACAATTGATTCACTTAACTGAAAAATTCAACCCAACTACATTTTGACTCAAACATGAATAACAGCATGCCGTAAATACTTGTCAAATGTCTCAAGGAGAAGTGATTAAGAAGGCACAGTTCATCCATAGACAAACCAAAGTAAGAGGAAGGGAATTTATGGATGGCAACTTCTTTATTATGAGGAACACAACGTTTCGGAGTATATACTTACAGTATATAGCTACAGTTGCATGAAAAACATCCAACAAATAAACAAGGCACATAACAGCAAGGTGATGAAGTCAGCCAACCAATCAACCAAATCAAAGGACTGTAACTGCAGACAAAAAGCCAATTGCCCAATGAACGGTAAATGCCTCACTTGTGATGTCGTCTATAAGGCCACGGTTACAACAGATACCAATGATGGTAACCTACATTGGGTTAGCAAGCGGTCCCTTCAAGACAAGGTATAACAACCACCCAAAATCATTCAGAATTGAGAAATATGAAAAAGAGACAGAACTCATCTGGAAGTTAAAAAGAAACAAAACCAATTACAAAATCAAATGGGACATAATCAAGAAATCAAACACCAACAAAAGAGACTCAGGGATTTGCAATCTATGCATGGAAGAGAAGCTCGAGATTCTCATGCTAACATCTAACAAGCTAAACAAAAGAAGCGAGCTCATTTCCACCTGTCGCCATGGTAAACCCCCAAGCCGAGCAAAAAAGAAAGGGTCAAACTAAAAACCATGTTTCATTATGTCTGATGATCGTACGCAATACCATGGGTGCGTGAAACTCAGAGTTGCAAAATGATATAAGGAAAGTGTATCCAAATCTGTATATATATATATATATATATATATATATATATATATATATATATATATATATCCATTCTCTATCCCCTTAAGTTCATTTCAAAGCGTCAATAGTTGTGCGATCTTCCGATCACTTCACATACGATTTTGCTGAAATGAATTGAATCAATATTGAATGAAATGTTGAATAAAATTTAAAAATTAGATTACAAGCCTAAGTCCAGGTATATTATGAACTCTTTTTACAATCAAACAGTGTAATTGCATGATTAATTTTGTACTTCAGAACAGATTTGTTGACATGGTATTTCCGGTGTTACATGCTCACAGTAATGTCTTTGTGTAACAGAAAAAAACATTAATAAACTCAACCCTGTGTATAAGACGACACACCCCTCCCCCACCCCCTTGAAAGCCTCCTAATTCTAGTTATGAAGCTAAAAAAAAAAGTCCCCCCCCTGCCCACACAGTATTTTCAAAAGCTATTGCCTGAGAACCAATTTTTCTTTCAGCCTTATAAATAAAGAAAAAACAGGGATATACTTAAAACCTATGCTAGAAAACGTTGGGCTGAGCAGGGGGTCTGGTATGTGGCCTTGGCAAGGAGGCTGTGGATAACAGAATTTAGTGATTTATAGTGGCTGGTTAATCTGGAATTTTGCTCGCGGGACGTCGTAGAAGACAATCCATGCTTGGAATTTCAATCCCGATCTGAATCTTAGTAAATGCTGGTTATTAATGAAGGGTAGTTTGTTTTGGACAGTTCTAAAATCTATTTTGGAGATTTGGGTTTTAATCAAGTTTGAGATAACTGAGTAGATTGTTGTAGTATTTGTGGGTTTGAATAAAAGTGTAATGTTTTTTTGTATTGTGGGGGGAGAGATTATAGAGTGATGCGTTATGAGTGATAGAGAGGACAGTGGTTGAATATGTGATTTAGGTCTTCTGGTGTGTTGTATCATGGGCATTAGATATGTACATAAGTTTTTTAATGAAGGTATATACTAAAAACAACTTTTAGAAAACCTTAAATGGTAGTTATTCATAAAATATACTTTAATGCACAAAATATCAAAATATAATATCATTGCAATGTTCAAAATCACCTAAATAATAAACCATAAATACTTTGTCACGTAAACCAAAACATTCAATAATTATCCCTATTGAAATATTGTTAATCTAAATGCGATGTAAGGTATGACTTAATTTGGGTGTCTAAGTATCAATGTAAACAAACCTTAATCCCCATAATCCAACTAAGTAATCATAACCCTAAAATAACATTGTCTCTACCACTTAATTACCTCTGTATTCAATAAGTCTAGACAGCACCCTAATTACCTAAATAGATGTCACCTGCCAGCTAGTTAATGTCAAAGGATACACATCTTAAGGTTCCAAATAGTTCCAAACCTTATAATAACATTCACATAAATGTTAATCCCTAATATGGTTGGTCAACAGAACCTAACCTTGTGATTGGTCAACTTACCCAAACCCATGGTATACCACATATAAGTTAGTATAAATATCGGTCCGGAAGAAGTGTCACAAAGCCCACCTAAACAAACTCAAACACTTCAAATCAAAACACAAGCCCTCTAATTAATCTCTTAAAGCTTTAAACAACTCACAAACCCAAAACAACCAAAACACCGCAAACACTACTCACCCCTTCCAAAACACTCCCTCCACAAACCCTCACCTCAAACACCACAACTCACACACACATCCTATACACCCAATCCCAGCATGGCAGACCAAAGACAAATCGAGATAAGCGAAATCTCTGGCATTACATCCCCTACACCTGCGGAGGCGCACAACACCTCCGACAGGGCAACACCCTCACTCATTCCAACAGGATACGGCGATCAAGACCCTCAAGCCTCCTACATGGAAACTCAACCCAGCACCCCACCTCCCCAAGCATGCAACACAAAAAAACGCAAACTAGACGCATCGGCATCACCTACCTCACACACCCTCTCACCCGCAGCCCTCATCACCACGTGGGCCCTCTACTTTTTTTCGGCCACCCCCTCAGTACAACTAGCTCCAACACTAACCATAAATAAAATAGGCATGTGGCTAAGGCAACAAAAAATCAATTACCTAAACATCAAACGTAGCTTCAAAGGATATCAGATAATCTTCCCAAATCAGGAATCCTACATAGCAGCAACTAAAATTAAACAAATATTCCAATTCACCGTAAATAGCTCTAAACCTAACTGGCAAATATACACTAGGGGAGTTATTCGAGTGCACTCAAGGGAAACCGACGAGAACCTCGACATATACGCCAAAGAAGCTAACACTATCCAAACCCAACCACAAATAACTAGCCTCCGCAGGATTAAATCAAACAGAAACGGGAAAACCCCCCCCACACCTATTGTAATAATAAACTTAAAAAAAACAGCTAAACACCCTGAAGCCCCCAAACATATCACTTTCGGCGCTAACCATAACTTAGAGGTCAAACCATACATCAAGCAAGTAAAGCAATGTTCAAATTGCCTACAATATAATCACACCGCCAACCAATGTACTTTCAAAAAAACTAAATGCAAAAACTGTGCCCAAACTGACTGCCCAGGGATATGCACACCATGGTGCATCCACTGCAAATCCATAAAACACTCATCACTCTCGAACCAATGCCCCCACAGACTATCACTCACCCAACAGGCCAACAAACATATAGACATAAACACGGCCAAAATCCAAACCAAAAAACCCACACCGCAAGCATACAAACCACTACTACCAACACCACCCCCAAACAACAACACTCACGCACGCAAAACAGAATACCCAGTCTCCGTATGGGACCAAAATCAGCGAGACGCATACATCGCAAATGAAACAAACACCCCACACATCCCACAAACTCACACTCTCACCCTCCCCGCCTCTCACCCTACAATTACCACATCTACACCCGCAAGCAAAACCCAACGCACAACGACCACCACACAACCAGCACCAACACAAGCCATCACAGCCACAAGGGCAACAACACTCCAAAACCTACATGCACCCCCCGAACACCCAGTCAACAGGGAAACTACAGAAACCACTCAGACTCTCGCACCCAAACCCAGCATGCAACCCACCACCGAAGAGAGTGACCAAACTAAAGATAACTTAACCAAAGAGGACGAGTACACATCCTCAAAGGAAATAAACGATCTTACCTTGTCAGCCCCAAAAACCAAAAGCTATAGAAAAAAACTCACCCAAAAAGTAGCAAGCAAAAAACTAAACAACTTAGTCCTCCTACTAGCTTACATGTTAAAGCAGTCTAATCCAGAAGCCAGCTCCAAAGCCTTCTTTGGTGTA